ATAGTCATAACAGCAATAACAAGACTAATACTGCAAATAAGGAATAATAATACGAACAGGGACACTAAGACAACGAAGATAATGATACTATTAGTACTGTGAAGAGTAATGGGAATACGGGTAATAATAAGAATGCCAATGCTACTATTCATAAGGCTATTAATACATATGATAGCAAGAATCATAGCTCGAAAACAATGACAATGCTAATACTCATGCTAATAATAAGATGCGGTAGAATAAGACGACGAATAAGCATAATCATAAACACATCAATCGAATATTACTAAACAAAATAATCACAAAGTAACTTTGCGAATGGTAAGAATAACAATGCTACTAAGAAGTATAATGCGACAACTCATCGTAATAGTATTCAAGGGAGTATTTAACATAGCAATAGTCATACTCAGACTCATAATATTTGAAAAATACGAGTTATAAGAGTAATACGAATAATTATACGAATGCCCAGAGTAACTTCTAATATAGTAACAAGAAGAATGCTAACCATACGAGTACTAAGGATACTACTACGATCATACGAACACATATTAAGCATGCTAACATCAAGACAACGAATAAGACTAATATTGATAATAACAGGACGAACAGTACGATTACTAATAACGGTCGTATGAGTAAGAGTCAACACAGGTTAATACTACTACGACTCATACGGATCATACTATCAGTACTGATAGTACTGATAGTTATTTGACTAATGACAATGATGACAATAAGAAGCAACATACTGATAGTAGCACTTTTATTACTGCGAAGAAACATAATCATACTATAAAGAAGAAACATAATAGTACTAATACCACAAAGAACAATCATGCACATGCGAATGCTAATACGAGCAGTACGAATAATACGACTACTGGTAATGATTAAAAAGAGGAGGAGGAGGAAGAGGAGGAGAAGGAGGAGGAGGAGGAGGAGGAGGACGGGAAGGAGGGGGGAACGAGGACGAGGACGAGGAGGAGGAGGAGGAAGAGGAGGAGGAAGAGGAGGGGGAGGAGGAAGAGGAGGAGGAGGAGAAGGAGGAGGAGGAGGAGGAGGAGGAGGAGGAGGAGCAGGAGCAGGAGGATGAGGAGGAACAGGAACAGGAGCAGGAGCAGGAGCAGGAGCAGGAGCAGGAGCAGGCAGTTGGGTGTGGCAGTTCGTCGAACCCCTTGGGGACCTTGCATTTTGTTGCAGTTTTTGTTCGAATTTTTTTCTGGGGTTTCCCGAGTGGGGGGGGGACCCCCCCCGGATTTTTTCGGTTCTTTTTTTAGTTTTATTTGTTCCTGCAGCTGATCCACAGGAACAGCCACCGAAAACCCCTGAACTCTGGATTTTTTCATGTTTTTTCGGGGGTCTGGGGCCCCATCATCAACAACAAACAATTTTTGAAAACCTCCCAGCCAACTCCCGAAAATAAAAAACCCAACCCAGGATTTGTTCTTGTTTTTTGTCCAGGGTTCTGGGGCCCCACATTAAAAAAACAATATGATTTCTGAGAACCACGGAAAACCAAATTGTTGACGCTTTGCGAATCCCCACCAGCACCTCCCCTTCACGCCGGCCCGTCCGCCGTGGCGCTGCTGAGGTGGCCGGCCCGTCGGCGTTAGGCAATTCGGCTCTGGCGCGGCCCGCTCGGACCTCACTCGCCGCTGGCGCCCTCGCCTGCGGTTGCGACAAAAAAGAATCCCCACCAGCCCATCTAGAAACGATGCCCAGAGGAATTACCTGGATCAGGGAAGTGGGCAGCACACAGAGGAAGCCATTATGAGATATCTTGGGATATCTTGAGCCATCTTGGAGGTCATCTCCAAGCGCTCTTGGAGTCATCTTAATCAGTGCTCCCCCCCAAAGGGCAAACATGTGGCTAAAACCTTCGTGAAATGAATGATTTGTCATTCTCGCCGAGGCCTCTTGGAGCATCTTGTGTGCCTCTGGGGGGTTTCTTGGGCGTGACATACTCTCGACACCATATGGGGGGGCGCAGGGCGTGGTCTCCGAGCGCGGCCGCTATCCGAGCTGGTCATCCAGGGCATAGCAGGCGTGGCATTTTCTCGATGCCGTAAGGTGGGTTACAGGTCGTGGTTTCTGAGCGCGGCCGCTATCCGAGCAGGTCGTCCAGGGCGTAGCAGGCGTGGCATATTCTCGTAACCTTAGGGGGTCCGCAGGTGGTGGTTTCTGAGCGCGGCCGCTATCCGAGCCGGTCGTCCAGGGCGTAACAGGCGTGGCATTTTCCCGGCACCATAGGGGGTGCGCAGGGAACGGCCACCAACATCACTCTCACATGCTTCACTTCAGCTATCATCATTCCAGCCATAATATAAGTATGTGTGGTTCCTCGGTAGCGTAATGTTTGGGGGAGGGGGGGTGATGCAGGAGAAGCAAAAAACTCGATTCTGGGGGAGGGGGGAGGAGGAGGGCGGGGGAGAGAGGAATGAGGAGAGCGGAGCAACGCGAAGGAGGATGAAGAGTCCCTTCCCCCCCAACAACAAAAAACACATACGAACAAAAAAAACGGGATGCAGCTCCGCGTTTTTTTTTTTGGGGGGGGGGGGAGGGGAGGTGCAGGAGAAGTAAAAAGCTCGATTCTGGGTGGAGGAGAAGAATGACGAAGAGGAGGAAGAGGAGAAGGAGGAGGAGGAGGAGGAGGAGGAAGAGGAGGAGAAGGGGAAGACAGAGGAGGAGGGGAAGGAGAAAGGGAACACACCCTCCGAAAGGCGAGGTTCCCAGTGGGTGTGCCCGCATGCGTCCCGCACACCCATTTCGGCACACCCCTCACACGTTCCGTGGCCCCATAGGGAGCTCCACCGAAGGCCCCAGTGGGTGTGCCCGCATGCGTCAGCCACACCCATTTCGGCACACCCCTCGTACGTTTCGTGGCCCCGTAGGGGGCTCCACCGAAAGATATTCACAATTGCAGTATTCACAATTGCATATGGTTGGGTCCTTCGCCTGGATAATTTTCTCTGGACAGCCCGCGCAGGAGCATCGCCATCATCACCGTCATCATCCTCACACGTGTTCTCAACCATCACCAGCATCATCATCAGCATCATCACCACCATCATCAGCAGCATCATCATCAGCTTCATCACCATCATCATCATCATCATCATCATCATCATCATCATCATCATCATCATCAACATCGTCATCATTGTCATCATCATCATCATC